AATCACAATAATTCGGAGATTAAATTAATCAATAAATATTTTTAGTAATATAGTTGCGTATTGAATTTTTAGTATATTGCGTAATACCATTTGCAGAATGATCATAAATATACAACATAATATACTTATATAATTAGGCAGAAATCATTAATTGCCGCACTTTTATTATATATAGAAAAAAATGAGCATTTATTATAATTGTATTGTTTTTATTTTCCTTCTAATATAGACCAAAAATGATTTTATTCACCATGAAACACAAAGAACCAATAACACCTCCATTAAGGCTCGAACTCATAATCTTCCAAATGGAAATCCAACCTGGGTACCATTAGACCACATAGTCCTAGTGAATCAGTAAGGAAATCACTTATCAATAATTTCAAAAGTTTGAAATAGAAATTATTGCAATTAACATAATAGATTAATCAATCAATAATTTTAGCAATCTCGTAAATGTTAATCAACAATAATTACGACGTATAAAAAAAAATACCATATTTGAAATTCGAAAAATCACAGCTAAATATGGGTCGTTGGATTGATTTTTATAACAATTAATTAAATTATTTACCATTTTTCATATTTATTTTAGTAACAATATAGTTACATAAATCATATTACATATAGATTTTCCTAGATAATTGCAGACAAACGAGTCATATATTATTCAATTAATTGAAAAGATAATTTTTCAATAATCTTATAATCAAATAAATGTATACTTTCAAATATATTAGAATTGTTTATAATTTCATATTTAATTTTATTCACATAATATATATATATATATATATAATTATTCGTGCATTGCACAAGTAATTTTTTTTTTTTTTGAATGCTACTGGCTCTATTACAAGTAATTTACTAGTATATATAATAACAAAAGTGCCTTGGCCAATTTTTACCGCTCAAACTCAGGGGCATTTTAGTAAAACTATTGATCCCATTCATTATTACCGATAAAAAACTAAATCGCTATAATTCAGAAAATTAAATGACTGAAAATTTGTGTATTAATTGACGTAATGTCCCTTTTCACTATTAATTATAGTTATACTGTATTATATGAATTTCTTCTATTTAATGTTATTCCATATTGGATTTTCATTGTTATATTTGTATAATATGGACCACATCTTTTATTTCCGTTTTGACATATATAAAAATCATAATAATTCGGAGATTAAACTAATCAATCAATATTTTTAGTAATATAGTTGCGTGTTGAATATTTAGTATATTGCGTGATACCATTTGCAAAATGACCATAAATATACTCTATATTATATATACTAGTTTTTTACGCGCATTGCGCGATTAGGATAATGCCCAATGCTTTTTTGTTAAATAAGTACTTTAAAGTATATTAAGGCAGGATTATATTGAAAAAGGTTGAATTTGCGTATTTAAATAGGTAATTATTCTCCCAAAGGTTGAGTCCCCAACCCCAAGGGCCCCCCACAGTCCGACCCGACAGAGCATTGTGGGAAGTTGTAAATCACGGTGACTCAATGGTTCAGCAGATAGGGCCAAATGCTGATACGCACAAGGAATCTGCCCACTTTGGACATAATTCCCGCACTGCCGCCGCTGAGGTTCAAACCTTGGTCTCTTCTCACAAATACTACCCACTAAACCATTGAGCTAAGCCCGTGCGAGTTAAATAGGTAATTCTAAATTTACAGATGCAAGATAATATAGTCAAGATTGATTATAATTGTCAATAAAATAATTGTATAGGTATAGTTGAAACCAAATACGGGACATAAGGGAGAACAAATAAAAATTAGGGCATAAAATATTAAATATATACTAATATTGTTTGAGGAGATTCCGACATTAGGATTTGTGGTTAAGTTCTATTAATACTTTAATATTAGAATTAGATTAATGGTATAGTTATAATTCTATATTAGACTTTAATATTAGAATTAGAATAATGGTGAATTAACGGAAAAGTTAAATGGATAATCATATAATTAAGGATAAATTAGAAAATCTTAAAAGAAAAAAATTAAAACCTGAACAATATGAACCATTCATTTGATTTAATAATTTGCCCGATCATTTTTTCTACCCAATGTTAATAATTAAATAAATTCGCTGATCAAATCCGCTAACGCTAACCGTTAACTGGTGATTGTCAAACAAGGACGTTGCGAGGTAGTTCTCACTTCAATTTGTTGTGTGATTTGAATACTCTCTTTGTCACAAAATCTTTCAAGTAGTTAATATGGTTGGCTTTATTAATTATATATTTTTTTAATTTTTTCATGGTATTAATAAAATACTTGGTAAATAAATATATAACATTATTTTGTATTATAACTTTGATATTTAATTAGAAAAATAGTGCACAAAAAAGATAATAGATAATGTAGTGAATATAATCAATTGATGAATTTGAATGTAAAAATTTTTACATTTGAGAAAAATTAAGACAATATAACTAATGAAAATATTTTTTTTAATTAATTTATTGATAATTAATAATTTTTTCACTGAATAAAGACATTGTAAGGACAATGTAGCGAATATAATCAATTAATAAATTTGAATATAAATAATTTTTATATTGAAGAAAAATAAAGACAATATAACTAATAAAATTATTTCTCTTATTTGATTTATTGATAATGAATAATTTTTTTTTTGAATAAAGGCATTGTAGACACATAATTCTAAATTAAAGAAATGCATATGTATTATTTTTTGTTGTAACTACTAAATTATTATTTATATAATTTAATAAGAGTAAAATAGAGTACTAATTATGCCAACTTTGATTGGGATGAGATTCGAACCTAAGATTTTTTTTTATTGAAATCAATGAGTAAGTTAACGGTGAACTAACGGCAATTCTTAAAATTTTAACGGAATTAGTAACGGTGTGCGGGTATTTTAGGAAATTTTAGTGTAAAATTTAAATCTGATCAATCTTTTAATCAATCTGAGCCATTCATTTGATTAAAATCTGTGACCGCCATTTTTTCTACCTATTATAGGCCTAACTCTCTTGGGCTCATATTAGTATATAGTATAGTAGATATAATTGGGCAGAAATCATTAATTGCCGCACTTTTGTTATATATAGAAAAAAAATGAGCATTTAGTATATTTCGATTACAATAGTATTGTTTTTATTTTCATTCTAATATGGACCAGAAATGATTTTATTCACTATGAATCTGTAAGGAAATAACTTATCAATAATTTCAAAAGTTTGAAATAGAAATTATTGCGATTAACATAATAGATTAATCAATCAATAATTTTAGCGATCTTGTAAATGTTAATCAACAATAATTACGACATATAAAAAAGAAATACCATATTTGAAATTCGAAAAATCACAGCTAAATATGGGTTGTTGGATTGATTTTTATAATAAGTAAATTAAATTATTTACCATTTTTCATATTTATTTTAGTAATAATATAGTTACATAAATCATATTACATATAGATTTTCCTAGATAATTGTAGACAAATGAGTCATATAGTATTCAATTAATTGAAAAGATAATTTTGTAATAATCTTATAATCAAATAAATGTATACTTTCTAATATATTAGAATTGTTTATAATTTCATATTTAATTTTATTAACTTAATATATATATATATATATAATTTTCAAAAAAAAAAAAAAAAATATATATATATATATAAAATTATTCATGCATTGCACAAGTAATTTTTTTTTTTTGAATGCTACTGGCTCTATTACAAGTAATTTACTAGTATATATAATAACAAAAGTGCCTTGGCAAATTTTTACCGCTCAAACTCAGGGGCATTTTAGTAAAACTATTGATCTCATTCATTATTCCCGATAAAAAACTAAACCGCTACAATTCAGAAAATTAAATGACTAAAAATTTGTGTATTAATTGTCTTAATGTCCCTTTTCACTATTAATTATAGTTATACTGTATTATATGAATTTCTTCTCTTTAATGTAATTCCATAGTGGATTTTCATTGCTATATTTGTATAATATGGATCACATCTTTTATTTCCGTTTTGGCATATATAAAAATCACAATAATTCGTAGGTTAAATTAATCAATCAATATTTTTAGTAATATAATTACGTGTTGAATATTTAGCATATTGCGTAATACCATTTGCAAAATCACCATAAATATACAACATAATATACATATATAATTTGGCAGAAATCATTAATTGTCGCACTTTTGTTATATATAAAAAAAAATTAGCATTTATTATATTTCCATTACAATTGTATTGTTTTTATTTTCCTTATAATATGGACCAGAAATGATTGTATTCACCATGAATCAGTAAGGAAATAACTTATCAATAATTTCAAAAGTTTGAAATAGAAATTATTGCGATTCACATAATAGATTAATCCATCAATAATTTTATCAATCTTGTAAATGTTAATCAACAATAATTACGACATATAAAAAAAAAACATGCCATATTTGAAATTCGAAAAATCACAGCTAAATATGGGTCGTTGGATTGATTTTTATGATAAGTAAATTAAATTATTTACCCTTTTTCATATTTATTTTAGTAATAATATTGTTACATAAATCATATTACATAGATTTTTCTTAGATAATTGCAGACAAACCAGTCATATATTATTTAATTAATTTAGAAGATAATTTTACAATTTTCTTATAATAAAATAAATGTATACTTTGAACTATATTAGAATTGTTTATAATTTCATATTTAATTTTATTAACTTAATATACACAGCCACAATCTTTGGTTTCAAGAGTATACAGGGCCAGGTACTATCCCAAAGGTACTTTTGTTGATGCAGTTTTGGGGAATAACCCAAGCTTTTGTTGGCGTAGTATTCTCGTGGCACAGGAATTAATTTGTGGGGGTGTTAGACGCAGAATTGGAAATGGTCAATCAACTCTAATATGAGACCACCCATGGTTACATGATGATAATAATCCAAGAATACAAACAGAAAAACCTCCCCAACTGGCACAGGCAGTGGTCATGGGGCTCATGGACCAACAAACAGGAACTTGGGATCAGGATATCCTCAAGGATATTTTCATACCTGAAGACGTGATACGAATATTAAAGGTACATGTATCACCAGACTATGAAGACTTGTGGTATTGGTATGGGGACCCAAGAGGGGAATATTCTGTCAAAGATGGATACAGGAAAATAATTGGTGACTATACTGGTCACATGGGGGGATTTGATAAATTGTTAAAATTGTGGAAGCTCAAAATCCCCCCGAAATGGAAAACATTTTTATGGAGAACTTTGAATGATATATTACCCACTACAAACAACCTACTTATGAGGAGAGTTGATATTGATCCAACTTGTGCTATGTGTGGACTCATTCATGAAGATATAGTGCATTCTCTAATCACATGTGACTATACGGCCAACATTTGGACACAATCCCACCTTCCAATCCCCAATAATGTCACAAATATTTTCAGTGATTGGTTTAATGATTTGTTGAATATTTTAGATGATGATGAGATTGTTTATGCAGTGGCACTTCTATATTATATTTGGCGAACAAGAAATGGGGCTGTATGGGATGCATACTTACCCAGGCCTCGGAAGGTAATAGCAATGGCAACCTCGGCGGTAAACGCGTGGAAACTTGTCCACCACGGATACACACGTACTACGACCACCATCTCGGCTGTCCGAGCGGATGTTGGAGGCCGCAATGTATTACCGCAACCTGGAGTCCACGAACCTACTGCTGCAAATATGGAAGACCGCATACTGCCTCCCATTGCCGTGCCACAATTACTACTGCCAGCCGCACCAAACGCCACGTCCCGCGCTACTCAACTGCCCTTGCGGAAACAATGTTTTTTCGACGCTGCATACTCCCATCTAGCGAACAAAGCAGGGGTTGGTGCAATTATCCTCAACGGACAGGGTGGTTTCATCTCGGCTATGTCGGCACCAATAATAGACTGTTTTTCACCACTCATGGTGGAAGCTTTTGCATGCAAGGAGGTTCTGTCTTGGTTAAGGGCCCGTGGGGTAAGGTCTATCGAGCTCTTCACTGATTGTTTGATCTTACAACAATATCTATCGTCTATGACACGCTCGCCGCACTCATACCTGGGTTATGCTATTGATAGTTGCAGGACCAGTATGTTAGCTTTTGATTATTGTTCGCTTTGTTATGTTCCTAGAGTAGATAATTATTTAGCACATACTTTAGCATCTACCGCTTTTACTCAGTCAGTTATTATGTATTCGGATTCTGATCCGCCAGACTCTATATCAGCATATTTTGAATAAACGTCGATCAGGCTCCTTTAAAAAAAAAACTTAATATATATATAAAAAATTGTTTATCAATAGGATAGGTAGGGAGTCACTATACCCTTTCAACCTTCCCTTGTGAAGATATGTTTACTCTACTGGCTGTACGGTAGAACGCGATGTCTTTGAACCGACTGCCGTTTGTGTAGACGATGACATATCTCACACAGGAACCTCCCAACCGTGCTTTGTTCTCATGAGTGTGCCCGTTTTTGTCGTGGGTCACCGTTCTGGGTTATGCGAGAGTTTCTAAAGAATTGTGCCCAACAATTTTCCTTTGGAGCGACCCTCACTTCTCTCTTACATAGGTGATTCTTTCTCGAGTATCCCGCATACTTACATATGTTAACCGACATTCGAATCATTAAAGCATTAACATGCTAGCCTCGTGCGGGAGTCACTGTTTCAATGAGGAGTGGTAGGGAGTCCGAGGCCCCCACAGTGACACGCTCTGTTCCATAATTTAGTTGTCCCATTGAACCTAGGTGCCAGCTAGGTTGGGTATCCACTATAGAACTTTTTAGTCCATGTGCATTAGACACATTCCTCGTGTCAACTTCTCCACAACTTCTTTGCCTAACCCTTTGGTCAGCGGATCCTCTATATTGTCTTTTGACTTTACGTAGTCAATCGAGACAACACCAGTTGTGAGAAGTTGTCTAATGGTATTATGTCTACGATGCACATGTTTAGACTTACCATTATACAAATGACTCTGTACTCTCCCAATTGTGGCTTGACTATCGCAATGCACACATATTGGAGGTACCGGTCTTTCCCAATTAGGAATATCTTCTAGAAAATGACGTAGCCATTCAGCCTCTTCACAACCTTTATCCAAGGTTATCAGCTCAGATTCCATCGTGGATCTAGCTATCACAGTTTGCTTAGAGGATTTCCATGCAACGGCTGCACCGGCTAGTGTAAACACGTAGCCACTCGTGGACTTAGAATCCTTAATATCAGATATCCAGTTCGCGTCGCTATACCCTTCAAGTACAACGGGATATCTCTCGTAGTGCAGTCCAAAGTCACGAGTATACCTCAAGTATCTCATAACCTTTACTATTGCTTTCCAGTGCATAGCACCCGGGTTACTCGTATATCTATTGAGTTTACTCACCGCCAAGGCAATATCCGGCCTAGTACAACTCATAAGATGCATCAAACTACCAATAACCCGAGCATATTCCACTTGTGAAATACCTTCTCCGTGGTTCTTGGTTAGATGAATGTTTGTATCAAACGATGTTCTAGCCATTTGACCATCATCCTTATTAAACTTTTCAAGGATTTTGTCAATATAATGTGATTGGCTCAACACAAGACCATCAGGTCTTCTAATGATTCTAATCCCAAGGATTAAATCAGCGAAACCCATATCCTTCATGTCAAATCTCGCATTTAACATGTTTTTGGTAGACTTGATCATCCGATCGTTACTACCAATGATGAGCATATCATCTACGTATAAACAAAGAATGACATAGCCATCTATCGTTTCCTTAATGTAGACACATTTGTCACTTTCGTTTATTTTAAACCCGTTAGTTAACATCGCATGGTCAAACTTCTCGTTCCACTGCTTAGGCGCTTGTTTCAAACCATAGAGCGATTTAACCAACTTACACACTTTCCTTTCTTGATCCGCAACCACGAACCCTTCGGGTTGTTCCATATAGATTTCCTCATCTAATTCGCCATTTAGGAAAGCGATTTTAACGTCCATTTGATGAACTTCCAAGTTCCGCAGCGCGGCTATGGCAAGTATCATCCTAATGGAGTTTATTCTCGTCCCAAGAGAATACGTGTCGAAGTAATCAAGGCCCTCGCGTTGCCTGTAATCCTTGATTACAAGCCTAGCCTTATACTTATCGATGGAACCATCAGGTTTCATTTTCCTTTTAAAGACCCACTTGGATCCTAAGGGTTTACTACTTGAAGGAAGATCAACAAGTTCCCAAGTGTGATTCTGTAGAATAGAATCCACTTCACTCTTTATCGCCTCTTTCCACATTGGTCCCTCTGTAGAAGTTACGGCTTCTACATACGTTCGAGGTTCGTTCTCTATCAAACAAGATAGAAAATCAGGTTCATTTTCTAATAAACAAGTTAGAGTACCCAAGTCATACTCTAACAAGTAAGTTAGAAAATCAGGACCAAATGATTTCTCAACTCTTGCCCGCTTACTGCGTCTCGGTTCGAGCTCGGGTTCTTTCTCAGATTCCCCACTATCATTATCCATAGTTTCGTTAAATGTCCGTTTTGACGTACTTGGTCCCTCATTGGACCTACAAGGAAATACATTTTCAAAGAAATATGCATTTCTTGATTCTATTATCGTGTTCTCATGTACGTCCAGATTATGGGACTCATGTACTAAGAACCGATAAGCACTACTATTATGTGCATAGCCAATAAAGATACAGTCCACCGTCTTAGGACCTATCTTTATTTTCTTAGGTGTTGGCACCAAAACTTTGGCAAGACACCCCCACACTTTCTGGTACTGGTAGGAAGGTTTCCTACCGTTCCACAGCTCATAAGGAGTCTTATCGAGCTTCTTGCGGGGTACCTTATTCAAAAGGTAATTACTTGTTAAAATCGCCTCACCCCACATACCTTGAGGTAGGCCCGAACTTATAAGCATCGCATTCATCATATCTTTCAATGTACAATTCTTTCGTTCGGCAACACCGTTCGATTGAGGTGCGTAAGGTGCCGTACGCTCGTGTATTATACCTACACTTGCGCATAAGTCACCAATCGGTGCTTCGTACTCACCACCTCGATCGCTTCTAACCTTCTTAATTCTCGGATTAAGTTGGTTTTCCACTTCATTCTTATAAAGAACGAATTTATCAACGACTTCATTTTTGCTCTTAAGCAAATACACATAGCAGTATCGTGTGCTATCATCGATAAACGTGATAAAATACTTATTACCACCTCTCATTTGCATCGATCTAAAATCGCACAAATCACTATGGATTAATTCTAGTGGTTCAGTTTCCCTTTCAACCGATTTGAAAGGTACTTTCGTTAGTTTTGCCTCAACACAAATTTCACACTTGTTATTTGTGTCAATTTGAAAGTTAGGAATATGGTGCATGCTAATTAATCTACGCATAGAATTAAAATTAACATGACCTATCTACCATGCCACAAATTGGGAGACTCAAGCAAGTAAACAGAATTAACTTTGCTTTTATTGATAACTGGAATTACACTGAGCTTAAAAAGCCTATCAGTTACATATCCTTTACCAACAAACATTCCTAACTTTGACAAAACAACCTTGTCTGACTCGAACACCATGCGAAAGCCATGCTTGTTCAATAGAGAGCCAGGCACAAGATTCTTCCTCAGCTCTGGAACGTATAGCACGTTGTTCAACGTCAGTTCCTTCTCGGAAGTCATCTTCAAAACCACATTGCCCATGACCTCCAAAGCAGACTGAGCAGAGTTTCCCATCCATACCTTTTCACCCTCAATGGTCTTAAAGGTGTTGAAGATCTCTCGGTTGCAACACAAGTGCCTGGTTGTACCGGTATCGATGAACTACTCACGAGGGTTTGAGCCCACGAGGTTCACATGGGTCACCATAGACGAAAGGCTAATCTCGACCTCCTTCTGACTGCTATCTCCAACAACATTGGCTTCAGAACTCTTGTTCTTCTTCCTTGGAGCCTTGCATTTAGACGCTTTGTGGCCAGGCTTGCCACAATTGTAGCATTCACCTAGAAACTTGTTCTTGGTAACGCCACCTTTCGGACCTAGCTTTCGCTTGTCCTTCTTGTTCCTCTTGGAGTTTTTACCGTGCTCCACAACGTTGGCCTTAGAGCCGACAACGACATGAACTTTCCTATCATTCGTCCTGTTCCCCTCCTCAATCCTGAGTCGCTGGATCAGGTCCTCCAGGTTCATCTCCTTTCGCTTATGCTTAAGGTAGTTCTTGAAGTCCTTCCAACCTGGAAGCAACAAGTGGATCACGGATCCCACTTGGAAGGCTTCGCTCAGTATCATGCCCTCGTCACAAATCTCGTCGAAGATTAGCTGCAAATCTTTTACCTGACTTATCACGGACTTTGAATCAACCATTTTGAAATCGTGGAATCGGCCAACCACAAATTTCTTTGAGCCGGCATCCTCACTTCGGTATTTATGATCCAAAGCTTTCCACAACACTTTTGATGTGCTTATCTTTCGATACACATCATATAGCGTGTCACACAATCCGTTCAGGATGTAGTTTCGGCAAAGGAAGTCCAAATCCTTCCAATAGCCAACTGCCATCACGAATTGGGTATCTTGTTCCTTTAACTCGGGAACATTCTCGGTCAAGAACCTTTTCAAACCGAGAGTTGCTGGGTAGAACAACATCTTTTGTTGCCACCTCTTGAAGTTCGATCCGACACCGGTGAACTTCTTCGTCTTTTCAGCCGATCCACTCGGTACCGAAGGTACCCGAGTCATGGGAATATATCCCTTGGTGCTCCCACCGTCTTGTGAACCAACGTTCATGGGTGGTGCTTGGGAATTAGCAACATTGTTGCCGTTCCCACCATTGTTGTTCTCAACAACATTTTCCTCCCCATTGATTGGCAGTATGGGATGCTCTATTTTCTTCAAGGAAATTCGGAGAAGACCACCAACGGGAAAACAAAGATATAAGGTTTTAAGACTGTTGGGAATTCCATTGATGAAAACAAATAATAATCCTATAAAATAAGATTATTATTTTCTGTAGGAAGAGGGAAGGAAAGATGAAGAGATTGGCTAGTGTTTGGTGTAGGGTATATATGGTGGATGCATGTGCATGGTAACAATAGTGGAAAAGATAACGGAAGTTATAACGGTAGGGGTATATTTGTCCAAAATATTGTATAGTACAACTTTTATAGCATAATGTATAAAAAAAGATGTAACGGAAAAAACGGACATAAATGAAGGGTATAACCTTCATTCACACTTAT